ATTGAGAAAATAATTCGTGAAACATTAATATCACATCAAAATCATATTCCCCATCGTTGTTTAAATAATAAGTCTTGTTAATAATTAATTTAACTATTGTCAGAAATTAATATTTAGTTGGCCTAATCAACAGATATTAAAATATTGACAAATTTCTCACGATTAATGTCTCGAACGGATACTTATTCTGAACCGTAATTGTTAATTATGTTTAATCAAACACTGAAAGCAGAAGCGGTTTATAATATTAACAAAATTATATGTGGCATCGTTTGTTAGCGCAGCAGTCACGGCGTCATATGTGTTGGCGATCGACAATATAAGAAAACATTTTGTCGAGATCTCGACGAGATTTTGAACTAATCTTGATCTCGCCCAAATCTCGGCGTGCTAAATCTCGATATCGATCTCGAATGTTACAAGTAATCTCGAAATCGAATCACATCTCGAAATCGAGACGAGAACGAGATTTATCTCGTCTCATGCGCATCACCATTCATTACACACTTCCTCCATTTGCAACATCGTTGCTTTCAAAATTTTTGACGAATTCTACATCCGTCGCTCTTTTCAGACTTGCAACTTTGTTGGCATTTAAGTTCTCCGATTAGCAACATTGTTGCGATCAAATTTTTTTTGACGATTTCTATATTTGTCTCATCTCGAAAGAATGAATCAAAAGTCAATGTTTATTTGCTATCAACTCACTTGGTAGCGTACAACTGTTGAGAATTTAGGTTCCATCTTGGACTTAGAATTTAAAATAGCACAATCCATTTAAATTCACTCTAGCCTATTCCAGAGCACATTTTCCCAACGAAGAAGAAGTAGCCGTGACTGGTCAATTGTTCGAGGTAGTCGACTGGTAAAAGGAAGCCACCAGGCTCGAGTCTCGGTCCACTAAACCGTATCCTCCGTTCGAGAAAGTTCACACTCTCCCAGCGAAAGCATTTGTCCATTATTTCGGTCGAGCTGCTCGCGATCAAACGAAGATCTTGTCCGATTTCCTAGTTTCTCTCTCGTTTTCTGCTAACCGCAAACGATCGTACGATCGTCTTTCGAGCAAAGAATGTCGAATATATCGATAGCGAAACGAGAGAACGGAAGGTGTTCCACGGAATGCAACCATCGTTGGGGATCCAGCGTCTAGACGTCTCGACGCGATGGTAGGCGAGTTTCTAGCTACACTGTTCCGCGAAACGGGCAATTCGAAGTCGAGCTTACGGTTCAGAGAAAAAGCGTCTATGCGCTCGTAACTCTAGTCGAGAGATGGAAAGGATAGGCCTCGCTTTATCGCCTGGGATTTTCCCATTAATTACTGTCCACGTCGGCGAGAAGCAGACCGAGAGGAAGCGTGCAGCTCTCGTCTTGTGCAAAAAGTGCGCTGGTGCGAGTGGGACGCCGGCGCCGGATCGCTACGATTTATTGCTAAATCGTGCAAAACTAATAACGCTCCCCTCGTCCTTTCGTTCCAATCGACCTCTTACACGCTTCTGGACTACCTCTATTTCTCTCTCTCTCTTTCTTCGCTCCGCAGTCAGGGCAGGAGACGTTCTCCGTGTGTATACGAATACGATACCAGATTGATCATGATAATTATCGGTCCGCAAATCGAGACTCTTATTTACAAATAAAGACGCAGGCCTGTTACGCGGTTTTGTCGCGGTTTCCCAACGCGTGCCCCAGCTTCACGGAAACGGAAAGCTGCGCGTCATACCTTACAGACAGAGATAGATTGGCTACAGTTTCGTAGACTCTGAATGTAACCTGTAAATTAATGGATAACATCTCATTCGTAATAATAATAATCACCGTACGAGTCGCAAACAATTTTCTATATTGCGTGTCAAATTTTCCAAACAGTGACACAGCTTGAGGCTGTTTCAGCACGATTGTTCTCGATGGAAGGGCAACTTCCCTGAAAGTTTAATCAACACCTTTCGGTCGCCGATCCCGCCCGCATTCTCGGAATGTACGTGCGTTCTCGTGGGTCGCTCGACGCGCTCGTTTTCTCCGCTCTCGAACGACGATGGTCCCTGTTTTATTCATCACACCGCGAAACCTTTTTCCCGGGAACGCAAGGATCCCAGGACGAGGATCGAATGTCCAACCTCTTCGTCTGCAGGCGACTCCGCGATCCTTGGACGTTTCTCCCGCTCTGTGGTCTGGAATACGCGCAAACGAAACGTAAATACGCGCAAAGTGGAGGGGATAACAGAAGGTAGACCAGGGATGCGCAACACAAGGCCCACGGAATGACTTAACGTGGCCCGTGACCTAATTACAACGAAAATTAATGCACACGAATGTATTGTTCGAGAGAAACAATAGATATAACGAATATTTAATTCAAGATTAGATGAGTTACGATTCAATTAGCGTGCTCAAAGAATACGGTACTCTTTGTGTCATCGGATGTTGACTCGAATGATATGGTTAATGTTATCGCGCATAGATTTCATTTCTTCCAAAAACGATAGAAAAATGAGAAAGTTGATCGGAATTATAGTACCTTTGAAGTTGTGCACCCCTGAGGCAAAGGAAGATTCGCGGTTAGGTTCGCATAGCTCAAACGTATTTCTCCGTGAATCGTCGGCGTTCGTCTCGCTGAAGGGAGGATTTATTCTTCGTCGATTTACAATGCTTTATGGTGTCGGTCTCGCTGTTTCAACAAATAATTGCCAATTAAACGTTCCGCGCATCGATCGTTCGAGGCTACCCGTTGCGAAACCGCGGATATCCTTCCTGTCGAGGGAGCTGCTCGTTCTCCGTACATCTTCGCGTCGATTCGTAATTTTGCGTGGATCGGGTTCACTCTTCCTTTAATACTTGCGTAATCTGTAGTCATGCCTTTGAAAATATTTGCAGTCCAGAATAGATCAGACTTCCGACACTTGATCTCCTAACTGTGTACCTAACTTTGACAACGGTTCGCAGTCCCATCCCTCGATGCTGCACCACCTCGAAAGTAACAACCACCTCGAATTGGAAACGGCCAGATAAAAGAGAAAAGCATGCGGTGGCGGTGCTCGTTTCTAATTCGCGTTGAAACCCAGACGAGGAGATAAATTTTCGAGCAGTTCGATCACGATCGTCTCGGTGTGCGAGCGGCGTGTCCCGATGCGGCGGCGCGAGAACGACCAAAACGCCCCCGTTTCATTGTCTAGCGGCGGCCAGAATACAATAATCGCGGCTGCCTAACATGAATAAATGTATTTACGATTTGACGTAGGTGTGCCCGCATACCCAGCCCCTGGCAAAAAATCGAAACGAGCCCGTGGTTGGATTCCGCAGTTGGAACGACCGAGCCGCGTCTTCTTCCTTCGCCTCGTTCGAGGAAACGCGCAGACTGAGGACGAGTTTCGTGGATGGAGAAAAAAGAATTCTGAGTCCGTCAGCTTTTGCAATTCTCTTGAACCTGTGCAATCGCTCCTAACCATCTGTACTCGACGGGCGCTAAGATGGCACGTTTAGTCGGTAGAACTTTGTCAATTTTTGAGAAATATAATTAAACAGAGTAGCTTTCAGGGTTTTCGAGGGTAGTTTTCACTTACATTAAGTAGCTGATGTGTAAGCTCGTGTGTTCCTTTGTCGACTGGAGTTATTACAATGGTAAGGATCGAAATTCAGGTTCGTGTAATTTAGTGGAGGCTGCGGAGTTGGATGGGAGTTTCTGTAGACAGTGTTTGATAGATGTTACAGGGGCAGGTCCGAGTCGAATGTGTTTCTACACATATTTGGAACAACCGTCGACGGGGTTGCTGTTCATTGTAGTATATCAGTCGTTACCCGAGTACCTTGCAACAAATGTTAAAGTAGGTCGACGGGAAGTCGAGACCCAAAGAGAACTCGTGCTGCATTTTAGCCAGTGGATCCCGTCAGTTCCTTCCTAAGAATAACCTTACCTAATCGTATTTTCACCTTTCACGACTGTTTCCATCGACGTTGCAATAAACTCCAAGGCGATTTGCACGAGCAGGTAAAGGCGGTTTCGTTTGCTGGTCGGACATCGAGGCACCGGTGACGGTTGGAGAGTGGTCGGCGGCGGTGGTCGACGCTTACGTCCTTACTGCTTCGTTTCTGGCGCGTCTTGGCAAGAAAGGTGCTCCGAAAGTTTATGGCCGCGGAGAGGAAGTGAAGGAGATATATGCGCGCCACGCCGTACACGGGGATGCACCGTGTGTATGCAGACGCGTGCAACGCCGGCAGAGGTACTTCCACGTACGTCCGAATGGACCGTCGAATAAATATAATGCCTGGCGTGGGCGGCCATTGTTCGCGAGCGTAAAGTTGAAACGCGCGAGAAACCAAACGTAAATCGAAGATTTCGAAGTTAATGGTTAAACGAGAGGTGCCTTTCGTGGGAAGATCTTCCTCGTGCACGACTTTGTCCGCGTTGCCCATCTCGATCCCAAAAATCAGGTCATTTTTCAGATATGTTTATCGTAGTTTTAGAAAAAGGAACCAGATGGAGAAACTAGACCGATTGTCAGTGCGCTTTAGTTTGCAAAGAGTGTGGCTGTTTGGTGCACGAGTTATCTCTACAACGTCAGAATCTGGATTCTGCGGAGCAACTGTGCGAAGTTTGTAAAAAGGTAATCAGTTGTACCGTTTATTTAAATGGTACACGATTGCTTACACAGAGATGTTTCTCGTTACGTTAACACTACGTATACAATGCAATCTGCAGGATCCTTGAATTTGTTAAGCTTAGCCATTGGTTCGAGATGAAGATCAGGAAATCGCGTCAAAGACTATTCAAGTCTTTTCACACTAATCAGGCGTTGAAACATTATACATTCACACCACAATTATTGCCACAAATCTACTACCACCATCCCCTAACTTATATCCTTCGAGAAGCGATGCCAAAAATAAATACAGCATCGTTGCAATTGTGTTCACCCAATGGGGATTCAATTTCCTAAATTACCTTATTTTCAAGATGAAAACCCCGCTAAAAGCTCCGAATAATTCGAAGTTCGATGTCTTGGCTTCAGGGCTCGGAGCAATCCATCTCGAAGGATCAAACAACACCGGAACACGTTCGATCCTCGCTGCAAAGCTGTCGACGCCGGACTTCGATGGTTATGAATGGCGCAAGGTGGATCGAGCCAGGAAACGAGTACGAAGAGGAGCATCCATCGGCTCGTTAGACGGTCCCGGGTAAGTACACGTGTCCACACATGCGCGGTGCACGTGTGAGAACTGCTAGACGACCTCGGAGGCCGCGTACGTGTAACGCACGGGGATCCCCGTGCTGCAGGGAGCCGCTTATTACCGATGCGAAATCAATTTCAATTTTGCGCAGCTTCACCACCTGCGAGCTCGTTCGCGGACCCAACAACCTCTCGCGTCTCGCTCCGAGATTACCTGGCAACTGACTTGCGTGCATCTACGTGTACCTGGCGCGATAAGTGCATTAACCCATGCATCCAGGACACTTGGATGCCGTGTTTAGAACGTTCATCTCAAGGTCGAGATGGAGGATACTATTTAGCGAAGACTAAAGGGGATCTCGATCGAGAATGTCTAATTTTGGTGGAACTTGACGCATCGATGGTGATCCGAGACAGGTGGAAAACGCAATGATTTAGCGAGTAGCAACATCTTGATCTCTTTACTAACCTCAAAAATCTTAGATGTTTAGAAAATTTATAGCGTGATAAATTTTATGCTAAGTCGACGCCAAGTTCTTATCGTATAACACGCCAGGTTGACATTTGAAAATGAAATATCAAGCATAACGAGTAATCGTTTATAATGACATCGCTCTTAATAATACCAACTATCAGTCACACTGTATGGTTTCGAGATAGCAAACATTATGCGAGTACACAGATAAGATAAATGTGCGCGACTCGAGGGGACAGACTCGTAACACCCGGCTAATGCGAGTCTCTTACCTATAGCAGTTAATCCAGATTCATAGGAATTATATAAGTTAAACGAAAACGTTGAGTATTTCGTGGGTAAAACTCGGTGAGACAGAACACTAGTCGGTAACACGGAGCACTCTGTAAGTAACACAGGCACGTTCTGCGTTACCGAGTACATGTAATTGGTAATGTAGAGTTCTCTATAGGCAACACTAAGCAACGTATCTACCTACAGAGTAGTCTGTATTATCGCCTGGGTCTGAAAATAATAATCTAAATTGTTTGGCAATTTGTTGTTGCAGCTAAGGGGTTAATGGAGGCTAGAGCAAGGCTCGTACGCGTTGCGAACGGTACCACCGCGATCAACGGCGTTCAACTCGCCGGAACCAGAGGGATGAGGCTGGCCGAAGCAGTTATAGAAGCGTAGCAATCGCCACGAAGGAGGTGAAAGAGGACGAGACGGTGGCCGGTGTATCTGCACCAGGTTGATTGAGGCTCGTGGGTGGCCCTGGCGTCGACGCTACCCGGTAATGCCCCCTAATCACGGCTGGCCATTCACCATTACGGTGAAATGCGATTTTGAGCGATACCAGGAGCACCGAGAACGGTGCAATTGCGCGCTGCTTTGTGTACTCTGCTATGCGGATGAGAAAAACAGGAAATTCGAACGATGCGTGGAAAAGCAACCAGAACCGTCGTACTTCTACGAATAAGCTGAAAAAGGTGACAGGTTAGCCAGAATTGCGTTAAACTTATGATGACGTGACGTCAAAATGACTTTACGCGTTTGAAGTATCTGCGAATGTTCTTTCTAGGTTCGACTCGATGATACATGAAGATGTACCATTCGTTATATAATTTATCGGAGGAAATCTTTTTTTTTTTCAGTTTTTTCGAAACCTTGTATTAAAAGATGAACAATCATATAAGTGTATTAAAAAATTGAAGATATTTCTAAAAACGATCACGTATTTTAGAAACTGACTTTGCCTTTTTAAAATGTGAATACATGGACCACAGGACCCTTGAATGAAATTTGGGACTTGGCGTGTATACAAAGTAACATCAGGGTGGGCCGCAATGACGACACGCTTCCGCGGTAATGGATTCAGTTCACGATCGAACGTGTAGTTTTTAAGTGCGGACATCGATAGCGCAGTAATGACGGTAATGATAATGATGCTTCGGATAACGATCGGTGAAAACAGAAATAAAGCAGCGTGGAATATCGACGTGCATATAATAAGGGAAGCGTGTTTGCTCGTTTTTCGGTACGGAACGAGGTATTTATAGCGGCTGTTCCGTTCATACTTGCCCCGTGCAAGATGATCCTAGCTAGAAAAAGTCCTGTTTGCAACATTAATTTCTCGTGAACGTGCACCGGTACTATTAAAAACCTACGAATACGTTTTTGTTCCTTCGAACGAGTTCCCGCGTTATCCGTAACCCTCCATTTTATTTCTGGTGCTTGTATCGCGTGGCTATCAACCGGAGTATCGTTACTTTCTCATAGTTCACTGCTTTTCCTACCATTATTTTTTACAACAATATATCTTCAATTTTATTTGATATTTCATTCATTTGATTATCTTCGAATTTCTCTAGGAATGCCATCGATATCTCGATGGGAAATCTTGAATCACAAAGGGTTTTAGAATTTTATTTTTTTTAAATTAGACACGCTTACTATCACCAGAACTTTAAATTAGAATTAAAAAACAAAAAAAAAAAAAATGATTACATTCCGTACCATCTCTAAACTTAAAAATATCAAGACTCATGTCACAGAGGTCTCCCAAGTTTTCCTACGTGAAAAAAAAAAACTCTTCAACTAAAAAATTTCAGGAGAATCGTTCTTAAAAGTACATAATCGAACATACCAGCTCATAGTTACGAATCCCTGCGTCAATTTGTTTCTTGTTCCCCGCGAACGCGTTACGAAATAGGGAAATAACCGCGGCGCGTATTTACGTGCGCGCACGGTGAACGTCATCAATGATGAAAGGTTCGCGAAACTTTTGATACTTTCACCGTTCAGTCGAGAAGAGCATTGACATGCATAGAATTCCTTTGTGTGTATGCTGGTACGCCTGCGCGTTTACGAAATTCTAAACGCAGGAATGCTCGACTTTGTTTAAACGTTGCGGGCATAAAATCGAGGAATGGTTTCTCAGCGTACCACACGGTGAATAATATAAATTAACAGGCTTCGAGCGCATTTTCGTGTTTGCTCAACAGGGGCATAGCAACGCAAACGTAAATGAAGGAATATGAAATAGACGGAGGGATACACGGTTATACGCTTGGGAAAAAATGCGCTTTCCTTCGTAATCTTTTCTAATTAAACGGCTAGATAGATATTTCTTGAACTTTTACTATGTTAAGATAATGCTTCAAGGGACGTTGACTAAAATTGTCAGTTTCAGTGTTTTAGTTTTTAATGGATTACGATGAAATTTGTTGCTCAAACCACGGTCATTGTTTGATTGTTCGAAAAGACATGTCTTGTAGGAAAAAAATGTTATGATATACTTAGTTTATCAAATTTAACTTAGTTTAAAAAATTTCCATCAAGTCGTCTAGTTTTTAAAAGTTTCTAAAGGAATGCACTTTTCCTAGCGTACAGTCATCCTCTCTTTGGATCAACAGTGCGTTTGATTTAATTCCGACTCGAAAAAGGAAGGTTCTCGATCGTGTTTAAATCTAACTCTAAGAAGCTTTCAAGTAGGTAATTCATACGATACAAATTGGGCCACGCTGAAGTATTCCTGTCGCGCTTCGATTACTTGTATATCAACACCTCGGTAATAAATCACCGAACCTGGCGGTTTCATTCGTCGAACAACTCTGTTCGATCTATCTGGGTAATTCGCAAATTCCAGACGTCGAATATCGAACGGCCTATTCGATAGAGGTAGACAAGTGCTCTGCAATTTCTCACTCCCTAATTTCGAGACTGTAACGCCTACGAATGTTTCGCGCGTGCTGGTGTCTCTCAGCGCCTGGATACGAACGCAGCCACCGTCTCGACCGCGAACGGTAGCCTTCGGAATTGCACGTTGGCTGCTCAGCCCAAGTGGACGACGCAGGAGAAAACGGCGGAACATTAATAATTACCCGCCACTTTCCCCTGGAAAACCAGGAAAGCCTGAGGGACGGACAGCCACCAGACGAGACCTCGTAGTCCCGATTGCCACGATAACGGGGGAACGTTCGAATTACCATTCGTCCTTTCACGTGCTTGGCAGCTCCAATACCGCGGGACCGTTTAATTTATCACATCGCATTGTGCCGCGGCGGGGTAGCAATTCCAAGAATATAAATCGTTTCTGGTCTCGTGAGCGCGGACCACCGCAATCTAGGCGGCTCGTGCTTCTCGGTGACGAGGCACGGTCCAGGAACCAGTACTGTCAAAGCTAACGCGAAATTCATTGAATAATCTTTGTCAAAACAGACTGTACACCTTGTTAATTCTAGCAGGAACACGCATGAATTATTTTCAGATAGTCGAACGTCTCGAGCGTTGATTTACGGTGATGAGATTGCACGATATGTTCTAGTAAGTTTCTGATATTTTCTTTCATTGTATATATAAATCGCAAGGTTGCTACTTTTTTCATTCTTCAAACCTTGCATAAGGAAGATGCAAATATTTATATGTTTTATGCTTTTAATAATAAGAAAAACACAAAAATATTTGTAGTTTATCTTGTAATCGATGTTCACGTGAAACTGTGCTCGTGTAGGTTCTCACGTTCCTTCCAAGATCCATCGTCCTATTCTCCATATCGCAGTTTCAAGGAGAAAAAGAACGACAAAATTACGGTGTGTCGATTCCAGAAACCGAGACACTAGTTGCGTGACTCGTTCGACTGACGATTCATCGCGCAATTCATTTGGTCCACAAATAACGAAAGAAAGACGAAACGCCGAGATGCGTGCAAAAGCGTGAATTGACTCGACGAAGGGGAAATTCGCAGACGCGAGACAAATTTCAGACGGAGCCCACCGCGAGCCGATCGATCGATCTGCAAACGAGAACGCGCTCGATTTCAACTGGCCGAGCCAGACCACGCGACGCTTCACGGATTCGTCTCGGTTCGAATTCAATTCGTCGCTTCCGTTTCGTGCGTGACCGACGCGCACCGAAGAGTTTCCATTCGACGTGCTCGTTAAAATTATCTCATTATAATTCAAGCCTTTCTTCGATCTTCCAAAGTGGCAGATACTCGAAACCGATCGCAGAGTTCCTGTCGAGCCTCGCGAAATTTGCATACGGATCCTTCCACTGCAAAATCGATGACTCAGGATGCTTCCCAAATTTGATCGAAGTCTGTTAAGCGGATTAGGCGTGAAAAGACAGACAGAGTTACTTTCGCATTTATAATATTAGCATGCATCGGGCCTGATCTGTCTTATTTGCTGTTCTCTTGATTTTGAAAATCACAGCATCATTTTAAACGGATTCCTTCTACTCGTCGAATAAAAATGGGCTCTTAAATCTCCATTCAAATCCCAGTAACGGTCTACATCCCCGGATTAATCAACATCCGTTTCACCTTTTGCATAGTCCAATCGTCACGGTCAAGGAAACGAATGAAGCGAAACCAACCTGGCAGAGTTTATGGCGACAACGAGGAACGAGCTGTTAGAAGCTGCCGTTGCAAACAGTCGCGATGCTTTTGTATTCGAACGACTTTCCCAGACTGGGGAAGAGTTTAAGCCGAAGCGAAACAGCAACGCGAACAGATTTCCAGAGCAAACATTACGGAGCTTCCGGAATATCTCCTCGACATCTTATTCCACGTGTGGTTAATCGAAAACGTGTTCGGGAAAAACGATCCAAGAGCTACCGAACCCAAATATAGCGGCTAGCTGGAATCAAATCGTGCTTGGATAACTTCACCGTTGATCGAAATCTACCAGGACTCACTTATCCGTCGAATGAAAGTCTAAATATCAAATAGTTTGTTTGACAAATGCCAGGTATCTAGTCCAAATGGAGCATATATCGCGACCGGTGGTGCTGGAGCGGTTGCTCAACCGCGGTTAAACAGTCAAAAATCGGTCCTGCGTCCGCAGTCGAGCAGAATCGCGCGAAGCTCGCGCGTAAAAACTCGATTTCCGACAGGAGTCGAGCGCATAGCGAAGGAGTAACGATCGGTACGATAACAGCGGGCATTACGACAATACCAGTCGTTACGAGCCGGAGCCAGTCCGCAGCAGAGGTCTTTTGCTTAAGGCGAGCTCTCGGCGGTTTCTTGCGCCGAACCCCTTCTCGTTCGTTCCTTCGGAATCGATTTACGAGCAAACGCGTGTACACCGTGCACCATGCGTTGCGTCAGACCAGCGTACAGCGGCACACAACCACCACGACCAACGTCACCGAGAGGACAACCTCGCTAAACCTCGGCCAGCGCCACTTGGACGGCACGTGTGCACACGCACACACCGCCCATTCGCGCTTAGACACGCTTCGTACACGCTAGCGTGCAACGCGTGCGCACCGCTAGACGGGAGGCAAGTGGCCTTACAAGGACGTGCCGCGACACGTTCGACCTGCAACAGTACGAATGCGCCGCCGCCGCCGTCGCCGCTGACGCCACTGCGCATGGACGATTTACATCGACGCCACCGCACATGCGCGATCGCTACCGCCTTCCATGGCACGCGAGTATGCGCGATGCACCGCCTGCTCGATGGTCTTAGCTTTATGATAACGATTAGGATGCGTTCCGCCAAACGATTTCGCGTTTTTAGACGTGATTATTAAAAAGATCCTGGAACCTCGGGGTAGATTGATAACTCGAACACTGCACTGCGAGTTCGATACTATGCGAACAGTATAGTAAAACATTTCTTCTATAAAAGTGAAAATCTATCGAGTACCTCATCTTCTAGACTGCATCTCTATTATCCACCAGACATTTATTCCAATACTGCAATCTCGAAACGTCTCCGTTGTTC